GTCTGACACATATGCAGCAAATGCTGCATTCTTCTCACACACCAATGCGCCAATCTTCGCATTGTTCTCACCAAACCAATCAGAACGCATAGTTTGCGCGCCCGATGGTCTTCTCGGCAGCAGCTGTCACCTGGTCGCGAATGTGGTGCAACAGATCGCACACTATGGCTATGCATTCCATATCACATGGGCTTGCAGCCATCGCCTTCTCCAGCTCAATACGTTTCACCACAGCATCGAGGGAGAGAATGTTAAATTGATGCCGTTTCACGGCAGCAGTGCAATACATAAATTGACGAAAGTATATACAGTTTGGTCCAATTTATTATCATTACCGCACTCAGCCCCACGCCGTACACGTGTCATGCGCACTTCACACATATCACACTGACGTACGATGACATAGTCGAGCAGGTGAGCGTGACCACTCCGTCCAAGTTGCTATATCACTCGCACTCAGTGCAAACCGAGTGTTCGTGGTCGTCAGGCAGTGAGTGGCACACAGTGAGAGCAGCTTGTCGCCGTTCGCATTCGCTGAACCAATGCCATGCTGACCGATAACATCTGTCCACACCGATGCGTCAGGCCCAACGCATGCGTTGAAATCACCCAGCAGAAATAGTCGGTCGCTCCTCGGCACAGACCGTATCACGGAGGATAGCTCAGTGTAGAATTGATCACGCGTGTCATCAGGATAACCCATGGTCGGACCGTACGTGCTTATAAAAGTGGCGAACTTACCTCATCCAAGACGTAGGCGAATAGTCATCAGTCACGCGCTGATGCCTGTTGGTTCACCCACCAGCTGGCCATGGAGGCGATCGGATATTGCAAATCCGACCCCATGATCACCTAGTGCTGAGGCGGCGTCTCTCACCCAGTTGTATATGTAGCCAGTACCTGCTTCATGCAACTTACCTTGCTCAGCGAGCCGAGTTTCACTGAGCGCCGCAATATCGATGTTGTAGCGCGCCAGTTCTATCGCGACCAGTGAAGTGTGTCGCTCGGGGCGCTCACTCGAGTTCCGGTCCAGTAGTGTGCGCACGTTCCAGCACCCGAGGCTGAGTGCTTTGCGCAGGCATATGATTGAATTGGTGAGCAATCGCAAGCGAGGTGGCGGATGTGCTTCGTAGGTTTGCTTGAGAGACTCCACCCGGAGTGTTTGGTTCAATAGCCTGACCACAAGACAATGGGGAGCAGATCCAGCTCGGGAATGTGCTTGCACAGACAGAGTGGGATCTGCTTGACAGCCGTCACACGCAGTCTTTGAGGTACTGGAACGATTCATATAGGTTTTGCGACAGTAGTAGGATACACCTGCGACCACGGCCAGACGCAGGTGGGTTTTGGCGAGTTTGCACCAATTTGACCAGGGGCTGCCTGGCTTGAGGCTGGCAGTAGCAAACCGTTGAACACTTGGAGGTGCCCTCCCACCGTCAGAGAAAACGCGTGGCGCTCGTGCTCTACGCCAATCGGGCTGTGAACTTATAACCCGTAGATTTGTTGTCTCCCATGGCTAGGTTTTACGGGAAGATAGCGATCAAGCACTTCCTAACCTCCGAAGAGGATGGACTAGGATGCTGGCAGGGCGCCCACACCTGATAGGAGAACGAATCGGGTCCTCAGCCAAAGCCTTCGATTAATTGAACAACCGAAAGGCAGCGGGTCTAGCACATGGTCAGTTCACTGACTCATGTGAATTGGTGTCCTGGATCTTAACGGGGAGAAGGATGTAACTCCACCGCGGTCGCCACGAGAAGTCCTCCACGACATGAGCCCATGGCACAACAGTAGCAGCGGTGGGTAGACCATCTGTCAGGATCTAGCCACCACCAGCCTCAGCGCACCATAGGCTCTCCAGCCATATACAGACAATGTGCCATTAGAACCACGGAAAATGGGGAAAACAAAATACAATAGCGGAAGAAAAACGAGTTTTGGGGTTTTACACACGTCATTTTGTGCTTGTTGTTTTTTATATATATTCGGTTGGACACTAACAAGTGATGCGATCGAACAACACTGTTGCAGTGAGTATGTTGCGCGCCAGGACCTCCAGCCTTTTAAACCACCGGTAGTCCGAGGCGCGTGGTCCACATCCTGGAAGGCGAACCGGTCCAGCGGATAACAGCTTGAGATTGCCTTCTTCATGCTCCTTATCCATGGCATACTTTCAAATCACTTCCGGTGAGTGCAAATAACGCTTGACGGGGAAGGCGTAATACGTGGCTGAATCGAAGCATGCGGTGTCTGAGAAGAACTTTTCGGGTTGTTTGCTCCAAACACTCGGTCTCAGACTATTGTGCTGTTTACGTGATGTTGCCACCACACGCAAGCAATCCTACCTAGAAAACGATTGTCAAAAAGTGACAATCGCTTCATGTCTTCCGAGCGAATAGGCCAAGTCTCACAACCGTACACCCAGCCCTTCAGCTTGAGACTGATATCGCGACGAGACCATAGGTGTCTCAGTCTGATGAATGCAAGGCGTGAACAATGAACAGTGAACAATGATTTATCACGGGATAAAAGCTAGTGCTTGACACGTCCCGTAGGATGGTAGCGGTGAATATGATGCAATTAAAATATGTCTGGGTCATCTATCGAACGTCTGCCGAGATGAATACTTTGATAATTAACATCAGTGTAAAATGAAAAAGAAATATCGCGCGTAAACATACAGAAAGACACTGGGGCGCAGTGATAGTTGAGGTAAGGAGTGAGAAAATAAAATATGGTCGCTCACTTAGGTCCATTTGATACATTAGTCCTGCTGAAAACATGCTTGGCGTAAACCAAACAGAGGAGCTTAGGTAACAAAATGTTGGGAGCTGAGAGCAACATCTAATCGTTTTTTGAAAACATCCAGGGTAGGAGAGGATACTACTGAGTCTGGGAGTGCGTTCCATGGTTTGCAAACCCGAAGGGAAAAGTAATTCCGTCGACACTCTAGACGGCTACAGTGTTCCTTCAACTTTAAGCAGTTACCCCTGAGCTGCGTGTTGTGGCTAAGTTTCAGCAAATGGCGGCATACGTGGTTGGAGTCACTCAATATCTGATACGCTAATATGAGATCGCCGCGCAGCCTTTGATAACATCCGCTGAAAATTCCCAGCAACTTCAGCCTTCGGTGGTAAGAGTGATACCGCAGGCCCTTCACGTTCTTTGTTGCTCTCCGTTGTGGTGCCTCTATCGCTTCTAGGTCGCGCTTCAACCAAGGTTGCCAAGCTTGGATTGCGTACTCAACATGCGGGCGCATGTAGGAATTGAGCATCATTGGGAAGATTGATGGGTCAAATCTCCCGAATGCCCTTCGCAGCATGCCGACATGCTGGTTGCCTCTTCTAGCAGCTACCTCAGCCTGTTTTGAACAGTTGAGGTCGCTCTGTACGATCACACCAAGATCACGTTCCTGGGAGCTATTCTGCAATTCGTTTGTCCCAAGTATGTAGATGCAGTTATGTCTATGGCGTAATTGTACTACGCGACATTTGTCTACGTTGAACGGTAGAGCGTTTTGAACTGACCAGTTCGACACTGTGTTAAGATCGTGCTGGAGCCGTTCATGGTCATCCGGTCCTCTGATCCTTCGCCATATCTTGATATCATCAGCGAAAAATAAGAAATCGGAAGTAATTGATCTCGCCAAATCGTTAATGAACACCAAGAATAGACGAGGTCCAAGAACCGAGCCTTGCGGTACTCCACACGTCACGTCGATTGCATGAGAAAATGATTCTCGGACTCTCACCACTAGCCGTCGTTCTTGTAGAAAATTGCTAATCCAACTCAGGATTGGATCGCCAATGCCGTAGTTCCGAAGCTTCTGAAGGAGAACTCGATGGTCTAAACGAGCAAACGCTTTTGAAAAGTCCAAGTAGATGACATCGACCCCTACTCCATCATCAACAGCTTCAGTCCAGCTATTACGTGCAATTAATAGGTTAGTATTACACGAATGCTTTTGACGAAAGCCATGTTGCTCTGGGGCTATTAAATTGTGGCTTTCCAAATATTGCATCAGCGCGTCTTCGACGATTGATTCCATCACTTTGGATAGTACAGGAAGTAGTGTTATTGGACGGTAGTTTGCAGGATCAGTGCGGCTACCTCCTTTATGGGTAGGAGTGATGACCCCTTGCTTCCATACTGGTGGAATAAGGTTTTCCTCTAGACATCGCTGATAGAAAACAGCCAGTGGTTCTGACAGATCACTAGCTACTGCCTGTAGAGCCTTTGGTCGGATGTTATCAGCTCCGGGAGAACTGTGGATACGCAAGCATAACAACTTCTTCAACACTGCCTCCGCAGTGAAGGTGATGTTTTCTAAACCAGATGGTGGAGTATTAGAAATGAGGTGAATGTTTGGGCTCGACACTTGTTGGAACGTTTGAGAGTAATGAAACCGTAGGAGATCAGCTGCTTCCATTGCTGACCGCATGCATCCATCAGCCGTGACTAGCGCCGGAACCCCTCGCTTTACCTTTCGAAGGCCGTTAACGTGCCTGTACAGGAGTTTGCGATTCGTGCAGAATCGCTTCATTAACTTCTGTTGATGCGTGACCTTGTCTTCGCGGATCAGCTTCACACAGAAGTTACGATGTGTCACGTATGCAGTCCAGGTTTCGGCATTCGGGCAACCCTGGTGATTTCGCCATGCCAAATCCCTCCGGGACATACATTTACGTGTTCTGCTCCTCA